CGTTTTTACAATAAGATTCCGGAGCATATATTAAGGTTATTATTTCCTAAGTTTAAAAGCTAAATAAAAACTATTTTGATTGAAAAGTCATATAACTAAATTGAAGACTACGTGGTAGATAAAAGACATGGTTCTAGATACCACACAAATTTGATTCAAAGTATATTTCATAGCATTTAAGTTTATTTGAAAAGAGCAATCTTCTTGCTCGTTCTTCTCAGGGCAGTCAACGTAGTGAATGAGCAGTAGTTTAAATGTGACGTTTTTCAAGTGTAAATTTATTTTACCTATGGAATAAATGATTCTTTGACTTTGACTTTGATTTAACAATAGGTCATTCGGCAGGCGCTGCGCAAAAATTTTGCACAATATAAACTCACGCCTATGATTTTAAAATCATAATCGCTTTGAAGACCCGCAGTTCCAGGTCCGGATCCATAAATTAAATGCGGAACACTGAGCTCACAAGCTACCCACTAAATAAACTAAAAACACTGATACCACAGTTTGTGCGGTATTTCCCGAAAAATGTTCAGCCCATAAAATTGCAGCCGTGGCTTACCGAGGCGGATCGCTAGCTAGTCTTAATTTAACACACAAGTCATTATAGAAAACATGTGTCGGGGGATTGGTAGTAAAACCAGTTATCTTGAAATAGTGTTTAAATTCAGGAGTATATTTTGTAAAACCTAGCGATAGCATCGAATTATTGCATCGTACTAACTATTGTTATTAATAACTGGCTATATCAGATAAAAATGTCCCATAAGTAGATACAGGTATCCTCAACGGATAAAGTTTACTTGGCCCACCACATTGACTTCATGCGGGGCACAAGTTTTAGATTTTTAGTAGCAGTAGAGCTTCATATTGAAGAGTTCGTCCATGGTGCCGCCTTACCTATTTCTGCTACCAAGCAGTGATGTGAGCTCTATTGCGTTCCGGTTTTGAATGGTCAGGGCGCTGGTGAAATTACAGGCACGTGAGACTTGTTAACTTACATCTCAGGTTGACGGACGCAGTCACATGATATATAATTCTTTTATATATATATATATATATATATAGAAGGAAGCAAACGAGCAATGAGCCACTTGAAGGAGGTCATCGTCGCCCATGGACATTTGCAACATCAGATGAGCTGCTTATGCGTTGCCAGCTTTTGAGAGCCCTGTAAACACGCTTTTTGAAGAACCCCATGTCGTAGCGCAAAGGAAATACTTCAGGAGGAAGATCATTCCACATCTTGCAGGTTCGAGGAAAGAACGAACGAGATGCCCGCGTGGTCTTACAAGCAAGCCATCTAAGAAATGGGGTTGGACTTTATTCCTTTAGCGGGAGGTGTGATGGTGAAAACGAGACGGTGGCACCAGTTCGAAAAGTTCCTCGGAACACTCCCCATTGTAAAGACGATAGAATAAACATAGAGAGCCAACGTCTGTCCCTTGGCTAAGGGGCTGCATATATGTTTAATAATTACTAACATAGTGCTGCCCCATTTAGGTCTGTGTGTTTTTTTTAAATTTATGGTATCAAAACCAGTAAATTAATAGTCTAATAATACGTTTGCGACCCAAATATTAGGAGTCATGAAATGGCCCTATATAGGTCAAACTATATCCAAAGGTGAACGTCTAAAATTGTTATGTTTAAGGTTTAAGGTGTAGGACGTTGTTCACGATATAATTTATCTCTTAAACGTAGACTGGCTTAAAAGAAAAACATATTAGCTCTAATAAAAATTTGTGAGTAGCCTCATTTCCAATAAATGTATTATGAAAAAAATATCACTTTAATAGTTTAAAAATATGCCAACATATACAAAAGATATACAAAAGACTAGAGTTGATGATGATAGTGCATATAAATTTCATCACAGATACACTGCCCTTGACTGAGTAAAGGCGACACGTGATAATTTATGTTTTTTTAACAGTTACATCTGTTGTCGAAATTTCTGAAACGCTGCCAGTGTAAATAAATAGGCGCTCTAACTAGGATCGCGCGGCTACAAAACAGTATTAATTTGTAAATTATTTCACAGATTTCTCTTATTAAGCCTAAGACGAGTCACCGAAGGAGAAGCGGGATAAACTGTTTTTCTAGATCAAATTGTTTAGGTATTTACTATTAAATAACTATCTTACAAAAAATATACGATACACCCAAGGATATTGTGTAAAGAATATGCTAATTTGTTACACGATAGGACGCACTTTACCCAATCATAAAAATACTTAAAAACAAACTAAAATAAAAATGTACAATGAATTATTTAAGAATAAAATATTTAATTATGCACATAATTTTTATTTTTGTATTTGTCTTTAAGTATTACAGAGAACGCACAAAATTTTGGTTTTCAAGTGAAGCCTATTAAATTTACATTCATCCCAATGACTTGAAAATTGCCTAGCTGTGTAACGACACGCCGCGCCACTGGCTGCCCCGTCAGTCGCAATCGCTTGTCAACGTCGGATCTGTGTAAAATTATTTCGCCTATTCTCATTTTTAACCGACTTCAAAAAAGAGGAGGTTCTCGATTCGATAGTTTTTTTTGTTGTAGGTATGCATGTTACGCGATAACTAAATAAATAATATAATTAAATAAAATTTGTGAACCAATTTTGATGATTCTTTTTTTGCTGAATGAGGGTACCTCAGTATTGGTCTCATTTAAATGTGAAGGAAATATTTCATCTCTAAGGGTGGCAAACTAGCGGATGAATCCGGTTTCGCGCACTTTCTGGTCACCGATTTCAAAAAAACTTGGCAAATAGATCTAATTCCACGAACTTTTGAGGTCGGCTTTTTTTAATAAAAATGTTACAATTATATTCATATTAATTTTCACCGTGCGGATTGCGGCACGCGAGGGCCGCCCCCTCCCACAACAACAATACCAGTAAAGCTCCTTGTGAAAGAGTTCGTCCAGGGTAGTACTGCCACCTTACCTATTTCTGCCTCCAAGCAGTAATATTAGCATTACTGTGTTCCGAGTTTGAAGGCTAAAAGGGTGCTGGTGAAATTACAGGCACATGGGACTTGTCAACTTATGTCAGGGTGTCGGGCGCAGTGGCAGTTCCGCTCAGATCTTTGCGATTTAAATCTCTGAGTGACACTGCAATTGTTATGGATAGGCCTGTAACTCTGCCGTGTGTTAACTGAAACGCGTTGACAAAATCATTTTTGAGATATCATATAAAAACGATAACCCAGTTTTATAATAAAACTTTTTATTATAAATTAATTAATTATAAAATTAAAATTGTTTAAAGATATTTAGCAAAGCATCGTTAGGATAAGTTTTGATGTATCCGATACGTTAACTAACTTTAACTGTTCTGAAAAAGATAATTTTGGACTCCATCTTCCGTGTTTAAAACGGATATTTGACCATATGTCACTTTGCCACGCTTTAGTTAATGGACGGCAGAGCTTACCATCAGGCGTACGACTTGGTCGTCCCGTCACTTGATATTATTTAAAAAAAAATTAAACTTAGGAATATTTTGTGGATTGATTACGGCACAAATAGTTGAAAGATTATGGAAAGCGGACACATCATACTTTAAATCACCTTTTGTATATTTATGTTACATACGTTATTGCACACACACCAGGCTATATAAACTGTTACAATTTAAAACTTTTGAACGCTATATAAATGACTTAAGGTTCAAATTTCAAACAAGTTTGCCTGTTATGCAAAACTTCGTATTCCGTGGTTATCTATAAATATTTAAGAATTTTAGCAACAACATATCTAAATAAACCGCTGAATGACAAGAAGGAAAATAAAGTAAGTACAATATTTAGTAAACAACATAAATAATAATAATAATAATAACAATGACAATTTTAACAACAAGACGTTATGCCTGCGTAAAAAATAAACAATTCATTAATTCGTTTGCAATTGCTAGCGAAAACAATCCTTCTTGTGTACAATTTCTTCTATTTAAATTTCTGAGAATTAATATTCGTATCAAAATAAATTCCTACAATAAAACAATGTTTATGGTCAGTATTTTTTTCTTCTGTGACACCATGTGCGTGGTTGAAAAGGGTATAATGGACCATCTATCAAGCTTAATTGAGTTACAAACATCCATCCAAACTTTGTATTTCATGATTGAGTGAGACGTGATCAGCAGATAATTATACAAATTCGCAGAAGTTAATACAAATGTTTACTGTATCTAATGGACCAGAGTCGCACTAAAACATAGTATTTATGACTTTACACCTTAACATTACGAGAGATACCTTCTCATGAAACTTAAACCGACAACTCATCACCTATTAATGAAGAACGCGTGGTCTTCCAAAGCAACCAACCGAACTGACAAATTTAATATATTTATAGATTATATTAATGGAAGTTCACTGGCTTCGATTCCTGGAATGGCTATAAACAAAATGCAAACGTTTACCCGTTTGACGTCTTATGAATATTAAAAGTATTATGCGTCAATACTAATAGAGCTCCAATCAAATATTCACTATTTGGTATAACTAAAGATTCACTGTTACTTACAAATATCCTGTTATCTAAACTAATTTGGCTCACCATTTCGATACCCTTTCAACAATTCGAAATTTACCAAAAAAGCTTTATCCAGTGATTCAGCACAGAAAATATGTTTTGCTCGACCGTATTTCTTGGAAAAAATGCAAATCTTAAACAAAAGTTTTAATAAAATGTACACGCTACGTACTGAACATCATAGCAATAAAACTATTTTAAACTAAAGAGTATTAGCCACGTCATGACGAATAACAAAGGATTGATCTGGCAACGATAAACAAATCTGTTGAACTGAAATTAACTCGAATAATTGTAACAAACAAAAATATGTGTACGTACGTATAGTCTGTACTGTTTTCTCAGTTAAATCGCTTTCAAAGCGGATTTTATTTTTAATGTTAACGCAAAAATGATCATTGTTTTTTGAGAAAAATTCGATTACCAGCTTGTGAAAATTGTAGTTACTTACTATTCAAAGCCCATAATTTGGTTCCTCGTAACTGCCTCAGTAGAATCTGTCCATGACGTCGGCATTCCGGATTGTGAATACGCGAAAAGTTTGGAGCAAAAGTGGGAAAGAAAGCGTAAAAGTCCTCAAATTCACTTTGGAGCAAATTTCGTCTTTGTAAAGCATCCGTTACGTCCTTCAAATGAGTTTCACTTTTGTAATAAATTTCTTGACTGTTTACTAGTTTTTCTGCTGATGATTTGATACTTTTTCCAAGGTCTTTCACTGCCTTTTCTTTAGAGTCAGACTTCTTATCTTTTTTAAGCTCTTCTTGTTTGGTTTTGACTTGTTTTGATTTCACATCTTCTTCTACCTCTTTTCGTTTCTTTGCAGATTCTGTGGTATCAGGTTTTGATTTCTTTTCGTCTTTCACTTTGTCAGTTGGTTTTATTTCTTTCTTAGGCTCGGGTTTTTTCACATCCTCTTTTTTAGATTCCAATACTTTGGCTTTGTTTTTCACAACATCTCCTTTTGTAAGTGATTCTTTTTTACCTTCCAAATGTTTTGATGCTTTATCGGTAGCTGGTTTGTCTGGCTTTGGCATGTGGACAATATTTTTTGTTTTTGCCATTTTTTTCAATCCATTATAAATGTCACTTTCATCGTCAACATCTTCATCGTCGTCGTCATCGTCATCATCATCATCACTATTGTCGTCGCCGTTGTCGTTATCATCATCAACTCTTAATTTTTTAAATAAATTTTTATTCTTATTATTGTTGCTATGTCCTTTAGACTGTTCTGGTTTCTTTTTAATGTTTTCAGATTTTTTGGGCTTGTAATCTTCATCATCATCGTCGTCGTCGTCGTCATCGTCATCGACATCGTCAATCGTCTTTTTTGAAGGTTTTTTAGTTGTTACTTTAGAATCTGATTCAGGAATCTTTTTCTTAATATCTTTACCGCCATCTGATTTTATGGATACTTTTTTTTCTTTGTCTTGTGTGTCCTGTTTTGATTTCTTTTTCTTATCATCATCATCGCCATCATCTTTTTTTACTGGTTTTTTAACTTTATCTTTAGAAGTCTGCTTCTTACTAGAATCATGTAACTTTTTAGGCGCAGATTGTTTCATTTCTACTAGTGTAATGTCATCGTCGTCATCATCATCGTCATCATCATCATCCACTACCGGTTTTTTAATTTTACCATCCGTACCACCTTTTTTCGCTTTCACAACCTTGGAAGGTTCTTCTTTTTTAAGACCTGTTTCACTTTTCAAAAAGTCCAAATCATCATCATCATCGTCGTCGTCATCAGCACTGTCATCTACATATTTATAATTTAGTTTACCCGCTTTCTGGTTCAATTCCTGTTGCTTTTCCCGAACAGCTTTTTTCAACTCGTCATAACGTTTAGCACTTTCGATTTTAACACTATGCAACTTTTGACCGACCTTGGAATCGTCCACGTCACAGTCTTCACACTTGTGTTTCTTTAAATCAGCTTTTAAACTGTCCTGAATATTCGCAGGTAAATCACGTACACGGAATGCGGTTATCACTGTTGCTAGGATGGGTAGGCAGATTAAAATTAGAGCTAGCGTCCATCTATGTCGCGCCATGGTCGACGCGGTCCGAGGCGCTCACGGCGCCATTCTCGATTCGACTAGCGCGTCTACGGCCAGAAACCCTGGCGTTTATTTGTAACACTACAAACATTCAGAAACTGGGGGGATTTCATTCATAATTTTCGCGCTTTTGGGTTAGTATTATTAAAGATTTAGTTGGGAAAGGTACGTTTGAATGCGGGAGTTAATTCGTACTAGCGCTCGAACCCAGCTGTGGCATGCGTCCAAGATCAGAGTAAAAATAGTGTTGCAGAGGCGATTGTACGGCGCGCGCGACTGCTCACTGACGTCCGATGGATTGGCTGCATTGTGATAGATACTGATCTTGTTTTTAATTGACCCTTACCTACTTGGGTGTCATGCCGACCATACGACTACTGTTCATATTTCTTTTACATTACATAGATACTTTTAAATTTTTCATAATAACGACAAACCGTACGTTATAATAAAGATACGAAGTAATATAATAGGTATTATTAGTATTTAGAGTACTGAGTACATGTAATTAAAATACTACGGTGCCGGAAATAGTAAATGTAAGTGTTTTAACAATAGGATTAACATAAATGCAATTGAGTTGCGCCTGAAACAATATCAAATAAAAAATTTGCTATTGCTTGTTTACCAGGCGCTACTAAAACCACACAACACACAGTTTTATAAAAATTGTTGTTCAATTACTAAGAAAAACCCAAATGTACCTAAATTTTATTGATTCATTTGTATTGAAATAACAAAGAATTATTTCTTAACGATTTCTGTCTTTCCCTAGAATATTAAAATGAGGTGTAGTCGTGTTAACTGCGGCTCATGCCTCGACTAAGCAATGTCAAATAGTTTGTTATAATTGCCTCCGAGGCCAAACGGCTACCATGCCGGACTGCCACGCAGAGTTCCTGGGTTCGATTCCCGGGCCGGGAGAAATATTTGTATGTCCTACATTTATTTCTCTCGTGAGTTTGGGTGTAATTTGTCGTTGTCCATGTGTGTCTCCATGGCACCCGCCACACAGGGTTTTCCCTAGTGCAGGGCTATGTGTGTGTGCACGTTATTATTATTATTAATTAATATTACGGCGGGTGACAAAGATTCGAGTTCTGTCTGTTGTAGTCCACTACTTTGTTATAATTATTAATACAAAGTAATTATACAAAAAAATAATATCATGATAGTAAAACATCATAAATATTCATTACAATAAATATTACAATGTAGAATATAAAATTAGACTTTATTATTGCTAACGAGCCTTCATCACTTTTTTAAGTGACGCAGAGATTAAAGTATTAATTATGCTACCGGATATTGTTTACTAGACTCTGGAAGGCATGTAGAACTCCCCAGCGTATTTGGTATACTAAAATACTGAACAGTGACCCAATTTATCTCTTCAGGGAAACCTTACTTGTAGTAATGGGGTGTAGCTATGAATAATAATTAACTTTAGTAAGTTAATTATTATTCAGAGCCTCTAAAACGTGGACAAACTCGGAGACAAGCTTAAAATTAAATTCTTTAAACGTATGACCTTTAAGTTCAAAGTCTTCGATTGAAGTGTATCTAATTGCAACATCGATATTGTATTCAAATGCGATAATTGTTTCATGTTCTCGGTTCTAAAAGATTGCGTTATATCGATTTAAATTTCGTTTATATTTTAAGTCCCAGAACTTATCTATATTTCATATGAAAAGTGGGGAACTTCCTCAATTTTTCAGCTCATAAATGCTATCAGTACCATTTACTTATATTTATCTAAGAAAATACGAGGCATTGTGTAATTGTAGTCGTTTTGTTAGCAACATTGAACTCGGCCTTGAGAGGTTATGTTGTGTTTTTTACACAAGTCAGTAGGTAAGAAGTCTATAAGTATTTACAGACCTGGCTTTATCTAAATTCAGACTACATTGTTCATATTATAGTCATTTCCGTTCCTTCATCCGTTCGTCCTAATGTCATAGATTAAAATTTAACCGTTAGGTATATTAGGTTTGAATTTTGTACATTTATAAAGATTTTTTTCATGATACCAAGAGACGGGACAAACAAGTTGTGGGTCTGGTAGTAAGCGACACACCTGTCCATAACAATTGCAGTCTTTAGAGCTTTAAATCACAAAGATCTAAAGGGCACAGCCCTGCGCCGGTCACACTGTCACGTAAGTTGACAAAGCCCATGATTGTGTCTGTAATTTCATCACCACCCTTACACTGCAAAATCGTAAAGCAGTAATGCTCACAACTGAGACGATTCCTCTCTTTCACAGAGAGCTCCATTACTACAATGGCTATACTGCTAAAAGTGCATAGTTATATGGTGCGTTATAGTTGTAACGTAGTAGTGTTATTTATTTCTCATAATACAGTATAGTATTGCTACATAAGTAGTGGAATCGGAGTCCAAAGATAACCTACTATAAGTAGGTCCACAACCTCTCCATTCGTGCAAGCCCCGTACTTAAATCAATGATTCAGAGCATGTCACATTGTGTTCAAATACAGCTTCAGTTTTGCAAAATTTACTAAACTGGGTATAATTACATCCTTTCGCACATTCTATATCTATATTGATACCCTAATACAAAGAGCTACTTCGAAGTAACCCGATACATGATTTCCTGTCATTGGCCGCGTTTAATTTCTACAGAAACTGTATGAAGTCGTTTCCAACTTTATTAAGTAGTGAGCGTGCGCATGATTACTATTGTTCTTCTTCAGAAAATTAACACTCTTAGTCTAAAAACCTTAGTGCCGTATAATATGGTTCTGTTAAATTCACGCACAGACGCACAGAAATAGAGAGAAAGAAAGGGAGTGAGAAAGGGAGAGAATGAAACAAGATTGACTTAATTTGACATGCAATACAATAAAGGATATACAAATTATTAATATAATAAACAATTAACATTTCAATGGCTCTATGACTGAAGTACAGTTCTCAAGAACACGGAATATAATATAGCCTTTGCTGCCACAGCTCGTAATGGTTAGATCCTCTTTGGTAATAGTTAAGAACATACTAAAAATAAGAAAAACATACGCAGACAAAATGCAGAAAGAAATAAAGAGAGAGGAGGGAGGGAGATACTCGTGATATAATATTATAGCTTAGTGTTATATTAATATCATCGCTCAGCAACGGATTAAATTGTAGCAAAGCGTGTATGTATTATATAATATATGAAACAAAATAGAACGCGCTAAGGCAAAAGTCTTAAAAAAACCATAACAAATATCTGCAACAAGCACGTAGAAAAATTTGTAAGATCTATTGGTTCGTTACGTGGCTTAGTTGGCATAGCGTCTAGCGTGGTTTGCTAGAAGACATCGTCGGTTCGACTCCAGCCGGATTGAAGGAATTTTTCGTAAGTGTTCTTTTTCTTCTTAATCTTTGTATTAATAATTATAACAAACTAGTGGTAGTGGTGGAAGTAATTCCGCAAAAAATATAATTAATATTAATGTAATTAATATTATCGTGGTAAACCATGCTGACATTCAATAAAATTAAAATAGAACAATTTATGTAACATAATATGTAACATAACTCTAGTTACTCAGTACGGAGTACAATCTCTCACAAAGGTTAAACGTGTAACACTGTTTTATTAGCGAATCATGACTAATTATTTATTTAAGTATTTGAGTAATTTATTTTATTTTGTTAGAAAACTTACTTTGCTCTAATAAGAATTAGTTTTATCGAAATAATAAATAAATCGATATTGTCATCAGCGAATCAACGGAACGCTAACGTTCGACCGCCATTACGTAAAACATGTTTGACTAGAAAAAACGTGTTTTTGTTTTGTTTGGATTTATAGTGAAAGATCTTATAATATAATTTATAACAGTCACTGGAGTCTCATTTCTAGGTCTACTAGGAAAGTCTCACAGTTTGTTAGTCTGTGATTACGTTAGATCTGTAACTTTATGTTAACTTAATAAGTCATTATTACTACAATCTCATACATTTAACTATTAAAACTTCATGGTATATATTATCGTAGCGTGCCGTTACCGGGCAATAACCATTGTTATACAACTTGTAATATAAATATGATATATGTATATATTTACTAATGTATATACGTGACACGTATATTACATTATATACCTTGTTGTGTGCTAAGGAAAATATAGGTACTCATAGTTTATTTAAACCAAAAAAGTAAAGTTACGAACGAAACACAGAGGAATAACGACGATAACAAAGAAAAAGGCGCCAAAAACAAGTATAATTAAATTTAGAATTTCGATCTAAAACTAATCTGTTAAAAAGACTGTAGTATACGTACAATAATCTCAGTTTTTCTTCTATTCTCAATGGGACCACTACCCAAGTACCCCTTTTCAACAAAAAAAGAATCATAAAAATCGATTCACAAACACCGGATTTATCGCCAAACGTGCATAAAAATAATTCAGTCGAATTACAGACCTCATTTTTTGAAGTCGGTTAAAAAGGTTTCTAACGTCTGCTGCGATTCGCTACATACCATATTGTGTATTATTATAAAAAACAAAACTTTTTTCAAATATAACAATATTAATTTCAGAACTTTCAAATTGAAATATTTGAAAATAGCCCTTCTGGTTTTCTATAACAGTATTTTTTTGTTTTATGGAACTAATGTTTACATAGCTTGGACACCAGTGTACACAATCATTATAACCTTTTTAATATCAGTGTTTTTGAACGAAATGCCACTCTAATATTTGTACTGTATTGTCTATTAGTGTATTTTTACATTAAACAAATTTAGAACATTCTACAGTTCAACAGCTTGTACCAAACAATACTAGCGTGGGCTATTCAGCAGAAAATCAAATGAAATAACTTGTAGTATAAAAAAGTAATCTAACTAGGTACATTATATATGAAATACGTATGTATTCGTGTGAAAGAAATGTTCGTAAACAACATTCTATTCAAAGACACTCTATACCAACCTAGCAAAGTTCTTTAGTGATCGTCAGCTTTTCATACATGCTTACATATTTTGCGTGAGTAAAACATACTCGTCGTAACGAAATAATAAGAATAATCATTTATTTCAGGCAATTTGGACCATAGTTAATTATAATAAGTACTACGAAGTCATAAAAAATATTTTGATATTTGAAGATATAAATGAAAA